GAAGGAAGAAAGGAAGGAAGGAAGGAAGGAAGAAGGGAAGGAAGAAGGGAAGGAAGAAGGGAAGGAAGGAACAAGGGAAGGAAGAAGGGAAGGAAGAAGGGAGTGCGGGAGAGGTATTACAAAAAAGTACATAGGGATCAAGAAAAACACAAATAGGGATCAAGAAAAAGATTAATAGGGATCAATAAACAAAATAAGCAGAGATGCAGACAACAACAAGCAGGGATAAAAGGCAGCAATAAAGAAGAGAGAAAGAAAGAAAGAAGGAAAGACAGAAAGAAAGAAAGAAAGAAAGACAGAAAGAAAGAAAGAAAGAAAGAACGAAATAAATAAAGAAAGAAAGAAAGAAAGAAAGACAGAAAGAAAGAAAGACAGACAGACAGACAGAAACAATGCAATAAATACAAACAAAAATAAATAACAAAAGAAAGAAAGACAGACAGACAGACAGAAAGAAGAACATACCCATGAAATGATGAAAGTGGAAAAGAAAGAAATAACAAATATAGATAAATAAACAAAGCAAGAACCAATGACATACATAAATAGATAAACACAATCAAGGACAGACAGATGCGATGGCTCAGTCTAATTTGCGTTCTATGTTGGTGGGAAAAGACATTGAAGTAGAGTAGTGCTTACATGAACTGCTTGCAGGACGCATTATAGGCAATATTCAGGTGAGAGCTAGGAGCCATTCGAAGGTAGCAGACCTTTTTGTGAGCCACCTGGAGGAGGGAAGCGGCCATTCCAAGGTAAGCCTTCCGAGGGCAAAACTTGGAGGAGGAAGGCTGAGCCGCCCGAGAACCAAATTTAGAGGAGGAAGGAGCCATGCCAAGGTAGCACGCCTGTGGCTCACAAAGGAGGCAGGCGCCAGAGCGGGCAAGGGAGATATTCTTTTTGCGCGCGAGTGAGGTGTTTGCATTGGCATCGTCATAATTCAGTAGGCAGTGGCGGCGCGCTGCCGAGATCGCTTACTCAAGTCAGCCAGTGAGTTGCAAGCCAACCCAGCAACAAAGACCGCCAAAAATTAGAGAAACACATATCAAGAACGCGCAGACACAACCAACTGCACACAGCAACATCCAAGCGCGGACCTTTCCTCCAAGCTCTCACGAAACCAGTGTTTTTTTAAAGGTCCACCACGCTCTATTTTATTGCCCAGCGCCCTACTTCTCCTAATGCCCTTTGCTTGCTACGCCAGCTGTTTCTCTTAAGTGTCAGTCGTGCTCCCGAAGTTATTTCTTCCAACAAATTACTAGCTCACTCCGCCTTGCGGCCAATATATAGGTCTAAGATAATGCAAATAGCTGCGTGTTGTGCCCCCAGGATATTGAACAATAATGAAAACGATTGAAAACAAATTAAACGTCGCGCGCTTCGATCGCCAGAAAGGATGCAGTCTTGGTTGCTTGCTACATGACGTTGTAACTGGCAAGTGGTAGAGCGAAGACGTGCCGGAATCGTCCCACGGGGCAGTTCAATCCAAGGCAGTGCCAGGCAGAACGATGCACCAACAGAAAAACACCCTTCGAAGACTAGAAGGAGAGAAAGACACCAACGATCTTTGCCATATGACAGAGCAACACCAAACCCATTCCAGAGAAAGAGAAGACAGAAAACTGACAGAAGAAAAATCATTGCGAATGCTGTAAGCCAAGTCACTTTGCTTACTTTTGCAGCCATTTGCCAATCTGCAATCGCAACCTGCTATAGTTAGCCCGTTTGCCATTGCGACCCGAAGAGACTGCAGCAAGCGCCTCAGATCCAGGTTTGTTCTGTCTTTTTTATAACAGGGGTGCTGCTCTCAACTGCTTGAGGCACTTCGTTTCAAACATGCCAGCCGTGTCGTTGCCAAGTCCTCAGCTAGTGTCTTCGCGCTGCATCTTGCAAAAGAAGTTTACCGCCTGGTGCACTCAGGTTGTCCTCTCCACTCTGGCTTGGTCCTTCGTATTTGGCCCCTCGTTGCTCCCTTGTTTGTGCCCGTGAGACTGCAGTTTTGTTTGACGCTGTCACTTGCTATGAATCTTCTGCAATGGCTTGTGCTGGTGATGTCTTCCTGGTGGATTCAGCTACTACTCTTACTGACGGCTTTTTCATGGTTTCTGTCCAGTGCGGTGCTGAAGCTAGCGTCTTCCAAAGATCTCCACGTGAACCCTGGCCTGGTTGTTCTGGACTTGGATGTCCCGTCTGCCCAGTGTCCACCTTGTCTGGCGCGCCATATGGTTCCTTCTCGGCTCGTTCTGGCTTTGCGACCAAGACTGCAGTCGGCCCAGGGTGCATTCCGTGCGCCCGTTTTTGTATCCTGGTTTACCTGTTTGCAAGATCCACAGGCCCAAATCCGTCTCGCTTTCATCGCATCCGCAAGTGGCTCCTCTTTGGACTTGTCGCTCGATCATGAATGTTTTAGGCCCCCATGTCAAACTCTTCGGTCCCGTTGTCGCAAAACGGTGTTACCACCACCGGTTTAGGTGTTCGAGCAGAAGGTGGTTTAGATGTTGACAGCCCTGCCTGGACGGGCGAAAACGAGAGGCCTTGTGAAACCCACGCTGTCGAATCTGTTTTGGGTCAAGGTTTCCGCTCCGTCGCGCATCCTGTTCAGCAGCGATACCAACGGCGGCGTTCACTTCGCCCTTCAAAGTTTTGTCCCAAAGCCTGCCTGCTTCTCATGTAAGTCCTGCTTTTGCGTCATGTTGAGGAAGCTACCGTGTCACGGTCCGAGTCTGTCTCCTCACCAGCCATGGGAGAGCCAATCTTTTCTGGCCCTCTGCAGCGTCAGGCTTCTGCAACTTGGACTTCTTTGCCTGCCTTCCCCAAGACAATGCAACGTCGCGCTGACGTCGCTTCCGATTCTTTGCCCTTCTTCCCGAAGTGGCGTTCAGCTACGGAGAACCTACCAGAGGCTCATGGAGGCATGATTGGGGACACACCACCTCCAGTGCACGCGTCGTCGTCCACAGATTGGAACCTGCTAGTTGTGGGTGTCCCGGCTTGGTTGGATGAGGCGTCTCATATAGAGCCCTGTGCTTGCGTGGACGTGTATGGTCTGTGCGTTTGCGGTTGTGCTTTGCCTCACATGGAAGGTAGTGGCCTTCAAGAAGATCAGATGTTGGAGACCTTGAAGTCCTTGGGCATTCCAACAGTTCTGGCACGTCAGGCAGCGCAGCTCCACCCAGTCGCTGTGAATGCCGCCTGTTGGGGGTGCCGCGTCATCCAGCTCTTGCAGAGTTCGTGTGCCTCCTCTACCACCTTCCTGGGCAGCAGAACCTGAAGGTGAAGTCGGACGCAGTTCGTTTTTTCCTCATTTGATGCCAGATGTGCTTGACTTGGGTCATGGTTGTGAGCCAGAGCCTTCACAGTGCCCGACTGCCACTGCCAGAGACCTTACCAGACGTCTTGGTCGACAGGCCCATGTCGCCGCCGTGTTTTGTGGAAGACACCCAACTCGAAGTGGAGCACTACTTTATGATGCTTGCCAATAGTCATGGTGCGGCGGTTTATGGCGAGAGCTTTTGGCAGCGTCTGCCCATGTATGCCCAATACATCCAAGAGCACTCAGTCGAAGAAGTGCTGCAGCATTCCGTTGACGGCCTTCGCGCAGTCCGTGCCGAGAAGCTTCATGTGGAGGAAGCTGCAAAAATGCCAGCGTCTCTAGGATATATGACAACTTTGCCCGTGGCAGTCGCATGCCATTTTTTACACAAGGGCTGCGGGGGGCTTCCAGGGTTGTTCGTTTACGACTTGTTCCAATTGCATGTCTAGCATCTTGCCAGCGCAAAGACCTTGCCATTGCCTTGTATGCTGACAAGTCCAAAACCTTCAAGTGCAAAGCCCGTTGGTGGTCGCGCCCCACTGGAGACCCCAGCGCAGGGAAGTCCCCACGTGCTCCATCATTCGGCAAGCTTTCGCGGCGCTGGTGTCCAACAACCGACATCTGTTTTACCCGGTTGACCATTTCATTGGAGTTGGAAACAATGGCGGGATCCAAGAGCGCCTGAGGTGTTCTCTTGTTATGGGGCCCCAAAGCAAAGCCAATCTTGGACCCAAGCTTCCCAACGAAAGAAACGGTTGACGTCGGCATTTTTGGATTTAACCAGGTGGCTCGAGTGTGCCAATGGTGGCACCTTTGAATGGGGGACTGGGGCGGAGGAGAAGAGCCGGGAAATCGGGCTAGTGAGTCGGTGCCTCCCTTGGTTTCCCTTCAACAAACGTGAACAAGTTGTCTCTTGCAGCAGTTTGCCTTGTTTCGGAAATGGTGGGTGAAAGTGGAGCAGAACCACCAGTGTGGCTTTTCAGCTCGCATGTTAATGACACCGACAAGCAGGGGCCATTGTCGACCGTGAGACAGGTTTGTTGGATTCTTCCATTGTTTTGCCTTTACTTGAGAGTGTGTGGCTAGAGACTTCCAAACACTGGGGCCCCTCGCGCCCCCAAGTGGCTTGTTGACAACATCGGCTTGCAGGCAGTTGTATTATCAATTGAACGACTTGGAGGAAGAGGGCGGATGGGGCTCCGCCGGCAAGGCTGCTAATTTAGGCAAGATGGAATACCATGTCCCCCGTGCAGCGTGCTTGGTTGCGCTGTCTGGTCACCGTGCCGGTGCTCTGCCTGACAATGCAATCAAATGTGCCATGAGGCATTTTGATTTGCGTGTGGTTCGTGATTGCACTATGGTGGACACCGAAGTCATGACATCCATTGCTTCCAATCCGTTGTCGTCAAAGTGGGAACCTCGTTCTTTGCCCAGTCGGCTGTTGAGTTCGTGTCCCAAAGATCCGATTACAATGACTGATGTTGGGAAATGCATTTCTTCGTTGTCGGGGGCCGCCTTTCAAGACGAGAGAACGAAGTTGTTGCAAAGCTTGGCAGACATGGGCCTAGGTGAAGTTCGCCCAGGACGTCGCCTGCCTAATTCGAGTGATGGTCGGAGCCTGGAGTTTCATCGCTTTCCTCTGACTGATCGCAGTGCCCAGACCCTGTGCAAGCTTTCGGTGCCAGCGAGAACTTGGCCTGCTGCAGTGCAGAATGAGGACTTACCTCCAATGCAAGGTGCAGGTTCTCAAAGTCATATGGCCAGTGTGTGCGAGTGCCGAGCTGTCTTCGTCTTTGTCTTGTCGCCAATTCGCTCCAAAAACCTGGCAAGCGTATAGGGGGAGCATTCGAAGCCAAGTTTCCACCCATGCAAGGTGGTGCTGGCACTCCAAGCATGCTACAGACATGGCGCTATAGCAACTTCTCGGATAAGTGTATCAGTTTGGAGATGGAGTATAGGTTCATGGTACCGCGCAGTAGTTGTGACTTTGTTGCTATTTGGATGTCAGGATTTGGACGACGATGTGGAGGACACGAGCTTCGAAGAGCCCAAGGACATGTTGGATCAGTGCATGCCAGCGCGTGAGACGCCGCTGTGGTTGTTCCATCCAGGACCTTCCACCATTGCCAGCAGACGGCAAGGACGGCTGTCAAGTCAAGTCGCGAGTCGCCTCCGTTGCATTCATTATGTTGCGCATATTGCGCGCGACCAAACAGTCATTGTCCTCAGGCAAGCAGCTGCCAGAAGACGAAGTCCTACTTGCGCCTGGCTGCTGCGGGGATTCGCCCTTTGCCGCCCTGATCAAAAGCGACGCGCAAAAGGTACTGCGCAGGAAGTTCTTGTGCCTGAGGTGAATTTGATTTTGCCACTCATGGTTTCAATGCGTCTCAAATACCGTCCGAGATCATCACGTTTTCTGCTTCGGGTCCACGTTGCTGTTCCTTTATGGCATGGCCCACCCCACCTCCACCTATATGACTCACCTCCGCCTGCATTACGCAATGATATGGCCATATGGGCCGCCCTCCACCGCTTGCCAAACAAGTGGACTCAAGTAGTGCCTGTTATTGCGGACTATCCACCTTCCTTTTCGCTTTGCAACATATAGGTAGATGATATGGCCATATGGGGCGCCTTCACCACCTTGCTAAACATTAATTGGGCAAATGGTCAAAGTCGCCGCAAGAGACTATTGATTGCTTGCTTGGTTTGCTGAGACCATGAAGAGTGCTTGTTATTGCGGACTATCCACCTTCCTCTTCGCTTTGCAACATATAGGTAGATGATATGGCCATAGGGCTGCCTTCACCACCTTGCTAAACATTGGGCGAATGGTCAAAGTCGCCGCAGGAGACCCCCTGTATGGCAGGGTTTGCGAAAGTGGGCCACGCAGATGATATGGCCCAGCCTTACTTGCTTCCTTTGCCGAGGCCACCACCGTCACATGTTGGGGTGTCACAGTCACCAGCTGCTGAAGGCGTTTGGCAACATATGTAGATGATATGGCCATATGGGTGCCTTCACCAGCTGCTCCACATTGGACAAATGGTCAAAGTCGCCACAAGAGACTATTAATTGCTTGCTTGGTTTGCTGAGACCATAGTCGCAACATGTTGGGGTGTCACTGTCACCAGCTGGTGAGGGTGTCTGGCTAGAGGTCTGGCTAGAGGTGATAAGATGTTTTTGATTCTCGTAACAATTTCTTTTTGATCCCCCTGAATATTTTCTTTTTGATTCTAATAATAGTTTTCTTTTGATCCTGATACCTCTATTCTTTGTTTGTCTTCGGCACGCGCGTTTGCGGCTCCAGCGGTTGCTCAGGTCCATGCCAAGCAGGCCTTGGCTTTGTCCCCCAACTCCAAGGAGCGTGTTCTCAGCTTTCAGGCGACGGTCGGACGTTTGCTTGTGGACGCTGGAGTCGGTCGGGGGTGGATCTCTCGTTCGATCGAGATAATGGGATTCTTATCATCTCCTGAAATGAGAAACGTCACAAAGATCTCGATCTCAAAGAAATAGGGAGCGTCACAAAATAGGGAGCGTCACAAAGATGTCTCTGAAATGGGGAGCGTCAGAAAGAAACGTCCAAAACTGATCTCGATCTCCCAGAGCTCGCAAAAAGCAAGACGGGCCTCTCACTTGCCTCGGCACTTTCCTCTCACTGATGGCACGAAGTTGTGAAGCAGCTGACCAAAAGTGTGATGACTGATGACCCTAGATAGACACCAATGTGGATTTCATTGATGTCAGATTTCTTCATGCACCTATATATGATAGACTCACCCATGACCATATGAATGACTGGCCATCATCACAGTTTGAAATTGTGCTAGAAGAGCAGTGCAGGTGATCCTGGAGCTCGTAGTGGGCGAGGGAAAGCCACCGGAGAGTCGGCATCTCAAGCGGGTTTGGTTTGAGATGTGGGCCCGCATGATCAAAATGGATGATGGTTTTGATCTAGAACCTCTTACATACATGCATATACATGCATATTTAGGGACAGAAGGCTTTAATGACTCTAATGACAACTATATAAGGGCACGCATCGCTGCATCGCCCTTTGTTTCCTGCCACTCACCCGACTATGACTGTGTGGCAATCATGAGCAGTCCGCATCACGAGCTAGGCAGGTCAGTTCTTTTCCTCTGTGACAGAACTTTTGGATCTCAGAATGAACTGCCGATTAAAAAGGACAGCCGTCCACCTAAATGGAATCTTTTGTTCACCCCCATTCGACTCCCTCGGCAAGCGTAGGATGACCATCCTCCCACAAAGGAGTTTCGTTTGACCATGGCACGAGGAGTTTGCTTCCCCAAACATCTCGTTCACCCATGAAACATCTAAGACATTTGCTGAACACGACTGTAAAGCTTTGTACTTCTAAGACAAAGATTCGGCTCGGAAGGAAGGAAGGACACCTATGGAGTGCCGAGTTTGGTGCCCTGATCTTTTCCAAAGAAAAAGCCGCGTTTCGGACCGAGTTGCGGCTACTGTGGTGTTTACTAGGTTTTGGGGTGCAAAGATCCACGCACCAAAGACCGTCACGCTGCGACTGTGCGACCGGGCTCCAAGCTTGTTGCTTCTAGAAGGAGCAGCTCTCCTTGGGTCGGGCGGCGGTGGAACGACGATGACAATATGATCAGACGATGGGTGTGAGCCAAACCCTTCCAATCTTTGCAGCCAAAATTGTTTGAAGTCCAAACCCTTCTCTTGCAGATCGTTCGTGCGTGCCTTCATTCTTTCGAGCACCACCATCGCCCCGTCGCGTGCGTGCTACTGCGAACCACCGCGAGCGCGCTGCCATGGCGGAAGCTCGGCTGGAATACCTTTAACTTTCAATCTGTTGAATTGGCAGAGGCACAACGCAATCTGCCGACTTCTGAAAAGCAAAAGGGAGCAACCTGTAGGGGAAGTTTTTGAACGCCTAGCCGAGCCTGTGGGTGTATACCAAAAGAGTCAAACAGGCACACACACACACACATCACCATGATAGTAGCTCACATCTGCGGGGTGATGACCCAGCCCTTCTATTCTCTTTCAGGATGTTTATTACTTTTTTGGCCTTTGACCCTGACCGCACCTCGACTTCCCCTCTTTTCCGCCCGACTTGCGCCCTGCCCTCCGTCGAGGTGCCCTCTCCTCGTGTGGAAGGTCCCCAGGACTCCTTCGCCAGCACGGCCAATACCATCTTTGCGTCGAACCCGCGGATCCTGGAGGAGCAGATCCTTGGCTAAACCGACCGTTTGGGCGCGCGGGTTGTCCCACAGGTGGACCGGGGGGTCCCTTTTGACCCGGGTTCTGGCACTGTGGCACACATGGAAATGGAGGAATAATGATGAATATAATTATACATGTTTCACAGGTCAAAAAGTTGTTGCGTTTCTTCGAGAGTACCGGTTCTTGCGGCCATCAAAGGGAATTTTCAGTCACTGAAAATTCCCAAGCAAAAAAGTCCGACTTGAGCCGTATAACATGAAAACATATATATATATATATATATTATAGTAATTAATAATATACAGTTCTTTTTTTGTTCTTGCTGTCGATCTTGTCATGCTCCTGTTTGCCTGAAGCTTTCGTGACCCAACGTTCCCAAACCATGTGGGTCATCGGGAGGACGGATGGGAAGCTGAGGAAGCAGCAATGGCGGGAGGAGAAGGGCCTCTCCGGCCTTTGGGATCCCAACAAGGATCCCCGAAGAGCACCTTCTCCACGGAGCCCGGAGGTCGTCCGGAGCGAGCTCGCGCGTTAACGCTTGGGGACGTCGAAGCCGCTTGGGAGCGAAAGGCCGGTTTCTCCGCTGAGCTGGGGCACTGCGATGGACGACATGGACCCCTTTTTGTAGAGGACGACATGGACCTCATTTGACCTCGGACATGGGAGGTCTGATTCCCAGTCAGTGAGGTGGTGACATGTGACATGTCTTCCGTTTCGGGCTCCTTCCTGGTCCCGACAGGCCGGACCATGAGGTGATTCCAGTTGAGTTTACACAGCGTTCAGTGGGTTTCCAAGTTGCACGAGGGTCCTTTTCAGAAGGTCCAAACTCACCTTTTCAATTCCATGCCAGGAACGGGCGGGCAGGCCGGTGGCGGCCCCTCTGCGACGGAGAGGGGTTCCGCAGAGCTGGGTCGATGAAGAAATGGGTGAACAGGACCAGCCTCTACTGCGACAGGCGGCTCGGTTGATAAGCTTTGGGGTCTCTGAGATGGACCGAGATTTTGCAAGGAACCCTCAAAAACATCACTTTGGCTGTGCCTGACAACCAAGCTCTCAACTTCAGTAGTCCGAACCAGTCCTCTAAGAAATGGCACGAACCATGCCACGCCGGTGGAACACCATGCCACCGGTGCGCCCGGTGTTCGTCGCCCGCCACCCGGTCGCCGGTCCCCCTTTCCGCCCAGGTGCCGTCCACTGAGGCACCCAGGGACGACTTTCATCGATGTCGCTGGAGGTGCATTTGGCAACCGGAACGGGCCGTCGCTGGGCATGGATCGAGTTGGGAGAAGAAGTGAAGAAGCGAAGATGGGATGGTACTGATATGTACTGATTGATGTGGCTGGTGTCCTACTAAGTCCTACTATCAGATCTTCAAACCGAATGGTTAGCTCTTTTTGGCCAAGCCGACCTTAGCGGTGGAGATTTTGGTGGAAATTCAGCTCCAGCAGTTTGAAAACCTTTGACTTTTAACTGGGCGGGGCCGTTTTTTGTGGAGGGCAGAGAGCGACGCTGAGGTTGAGACGCTGGGAGCAGTAGCTCAACTTCAGCTGTCGATTGTGAGAGGCAAAGACCTCGCTTGCCATGAGCTCTCGTCTCTCTTCCAGCCCACCTGCAATGCAGCGGCGAAGGCACGAGCTACACTCGGACATAGGACCATGGGAAGATTTTTTTTGTCAAAGTAGTGCTGAATGTGGCGAGTGGAAAGATATATCTATATCACATATATATATATATATTATATATATACTACCCCGCCACTGACATTTGTCCTCAGTCTATATATATATATATATATATATCTGTGTGATATAGACAGAGCATGCCTGGTAAGGAGCCACCGAGCGGCGACCAAAACGGCATTCATTTTTCATAGCTACTCAGCCATGGGTCTCCATCGTGACAGGTCTACCTGGACGACACACTGGTGTGTCAGTCCAAGTGCCAGCAGCGGACCAGGGACCCCGACTGGCCACTGGGCGGACCATGCAGCCATTGGGGAGAAGCCATGAGGTCCAACGGCAGCCATGGGGAGCCAGGCCCCTCAACAAAGACAGCCTCAACAGCCTGCCTCAATACAACAAGATAGGTGATCAATGTGTGGATCTCCATGGGATCTTGGAGTGGTTCTATTGCCATGATCCTACCTACGCCATCACACACCAACAGAGGGGTGAGATCGTTGTTCGGTCGATCTGACCGGGTGGATCTGAGGAAGTTCCAGAAATCGTTGGATGTCACCTGCCCCTATTCCATGCTGCGGGTGCACGTGGTCGATTTCGGGAACTCCAATGCGGTCACTCGAGCCTTGGCAGAAGCCCAGCGAAGCGCCGTGGCCATGGCGAACAGCATGTGGACTATGGTCGCAAGTGAAGACACCCAACCTCTAAAATGCGATGACCTCCCAGGTGAGACTTGATTTAAGTACATGGAGGGCATTTGTGCCATACCTAAGAGTTCATTCGTGACGCAAGAGGCAGACCCACGACCTCGTGGCCCGGATTCAACACACGTTGACACGTGGGGCCGATGGGGCGAAGGGGGGGACGCGGAACCGACCGCTCAGTGAGCTCTCTGCGGACGCGTTCCCTGCAGAATTCCCTGCGCAGGGCACCAGATTGGATTCGTAGAGATCAACTTGGGCGACTTGCCACTGAACAAGGAGCTGATTGGTTGGTTCGAGCTTCGGCACCCCGATGCGCTGAAGCGCACCAGCTGGGAGAGGTATGCCACACACTGCCAGCGCAGGGACGACCAGATGCCCAGGCCGGAAGGGCGATCGATTTGGAGGTGAGGGGGGCCTGCTGGGAGAGTATTTGGCTTTCACGGCTTTCACATCATGAAGTGGACCTTTTCTTTCCCGTGTGTTCAAGCTTTTTGGAGGCTTCGTTGCCGCCTCTACCTATCCATGCTTTGCAGGTTTTCGAGATGGGGGTTCTCTCCATTAAATAGGACTTGGTGCTGGAGTCAAAAGCGAGGGTCTTTTGTGAGATCTTTTGGAACTTGAACTGGAGGAGACCTTCCATGAGTAGCTTGCAATTATAGAACTAACTAGGAAGAGCGTTGAAGAATTCACAGGTTCTGCCTCTTGCACTTGTTTTCACACAGATCCATGATTAGCGCTGCATACTACCAATTTGACACCTGCACTCACGTCCTTCCTCGAGGCTTCGAAAGCCCAGAGTGCCAGTCCAGAAGCTTCAACAGGACCTGTTGGCCTATCGACTTAGACAAATCCAGTTGCCAGTCAGGATTTGGTGTTTGTATATGTCATGTTCTGATCTTGGCAGGAGTCCCAAGAGTTCTCACCAGCGGCAAGGCTGCAACCACGACGGGATATTGTCACACATCATGTCGCCACTCATACTTTGATGCAGGTGACCAACGACATGCGTCGTAGCTAGAAGGTTCATCCGTTTGCATTCTCCTTGTTTTGCCCAACCACAAGGCCACAAAGTCTGGCTTGCACCCATTGATGTTCCATTCTGTTGCTTGTTTGAGTAGAAGGAAGAATGGAGCTGAAGACTCTGCTGAGGATGGGAACGACACTTTGAACACTTCTGGACAAAGGAGCGAGTGGTTTTCGGGGAGTTTTCTGGGAGCTTTTCTGAATGATCACGTGCACGGAGGCGTCCCGTTCCAGTTCCCGTTCGGCGCCGGTTCCTGTTCTGCTTC